CAAGTTTAAAGGGCAACCCTGAAAGCCTATACCCTGAAGATGTGCTGACGCTCTTCTTTTTTTTGGGGGGGGAAGAAAAATGGACATTGGTACATATGCGCGCGGATTCTACTTGAATTCTTCTAAGAATCCACTTCCCCCCACTCCCCCCTGAAGCACCAGCACCCGAAGTCTAGACTCCCTAAACCCCAAACCCTAAGCCCAGCCCTAAACCCTAAACCCTAAACCCTAAACCCTAAACCCTAAACCCTAAACCCTAAACCCTAAACCCGAGTTAGACCTGCAATCCCGGGCCTTTCTGGCATAATGGGGACTTACAAGCTTCACTTGCTGTGGGGGCGCTCGTAGCCTAGAGTTCGGTCTCAGGGTTGTATAGGACAACTTCAAAAGCCCTAAGCCCTGAGCCCTAAGCCCTAACCCCATGAGCCCTAAGCCCTAAGGCCTAAGTCCTAAACCCTAAACCCTAAACCCTAAACCCTAATCCCTAAACCCTAAACCCTAATCCCGAAACCCTAAACCCTAAACCCTAAACCCTAAACCCTAAACCGGCGGGAGGGTTTTTTTTTTTTAAAGGTGTGGCTCGGACGCTTTTTTTTTAAAGGTGTGGCTCAGCTTGGCTTCGCAAATACTGTAAATAGCAGCATTTCTGCGTTTAGAGAGGCCGCAAATACTGTAAATAGCAGCATTTCTGCGTTGTCAGAGGCTTTTCAGATACTTCAAATGGCAGCATTTCTGCGTTGTCAGAAGCTTCAAATACTGTAAATAGCCGCATTTCCGCGTTGTCAGAGGCTGCAAATACTGTAAATAGCGGCATTTCTGCGTTGTCAGAGGCTGCAAATTCTGCACCAATACTATAAATAGCAGCATTTCTGCGTTGTCAGAGGCTTCAAATACTGTAAATAGCAGCATTTCTGCGTTGTCAGAAGCTTCCAAGACTGCAAATAGCAGCATTTCTGTGTTGTCAGCGGCTTCCAATACTGTAAATGGCAGCATTTCTGCGGTAGTCAGAGGCTTCAAATACTGTAAATAGCAGAATTTCTGCGTTGCGTTGGCTGCAAATACTGTACGTAGCAGCATTTCTGACATAAAATGTATATAGCAGCATTTCTGGGTTTTCAGACGCTGCAACGAAGGGCATTAAATAGCAGCATTTCTGTGTTTTCAGAGGCTTCAGATACCGTAAATGGCAGCATTTCTGCGTTGTCAGACACTGCAAATACTGTAAATAGCAGCATGTCTGTGTTTTCAGAGGTTGGATATAAATCATACGCTGTTATATAAACATATCTATATATATAGTTATTTATTTACATTTCTTATTATGTAAATTATATATGACAATATGCTATTTAGTATTATAGATATAATACACTATCTATCTATCTATCTATCTATCTATCTATCTATCTATATATGTATGTGTATATGTGTATATGTGTATGTGTGTATGTGTGTATGTGTGTATGTGTGTATATGTGTATATGTGTATATGTGTATATGTGTATATGTGTATATGTGTATATGTGTATATACGTATATATGTATATATGTATATATGTATATATGTATATATGTATATATGTATATATGTATATATGTATATATGTATATATGTATATATGTAGATATGTATATATGTATATATGTATATATGTATATATGTATATATGTATATATGTATATATGTATATATGTATAATATGGTAAATATGTAATATCTGTATATATTGTAGAGATGTATATATGTATATAATTAATAGATATATATATGCCACACTGCTTAAAAAAGCCAAGGGGTTGGGGGGTTGGGGGAGCGCAGCCCCCCCCCCATTTGGCAAACTCATGCTTGCATGTAAGTTTCAAGTTCATAGGCTTGAATCAAGCTTGCCGGCTTAAAAAAGCGGGGGGGTTGGGGTGGCGCAGCCCCCCGCATTTGCAAACCATGCTGCCAGCAGGTTTCACAGATTCATATGCTTGAAGCAGCTTGCACGCTTAAAAAGCGTGGGGGGGGGTTTGGGGCGCGGCCCCCCCCTTGCCAACTCAATGCTTGCATGATGGTTTTCAAAAAGACTCATATGCTTTGAAACAAGCTTGCACGGCTTTAAAGAGCGGGGGGGTTGGGGGGGGCGCAGCCCCCCCCATTTGCAAACTCAATGCTTGCATGTAGGTTTCGAGATTCATATGCTTTGAAGCAAGCTTGCACGGCATAAAACAGCGCGGGTTTGGGGCGCAGCCCCCCCCATTTGCAAACTCAATGCTTGCATGTAGGCTTCAGGATTCATATGCTTTGAAGCAAGCTTGCACGGCATAGAACAGCGCGGGGTTGGGGCGCAGCCCCCCCCCATTTGCAAACTCAATGCTTGCATGATGGGTTTCGAAAAGATTCATATGCTTTGAAACAAGCTTGCACGGCTTTAAAGAGCGGGGGGGTTGGGGGGGGGCGCAGCCCCCCCCATTTGCAAACTCAATGCTTGCATGTAGGTTTCGAGATTCATATGCTTTGAAGCAAGCTTGCACGGCTTAAAAAAGCGGGGGGTTTGGGGGGGGCGCAGCCCCCCCCATTTGCAAACTCAATGCTTGCATGTAGGCTTCAAGATTCATATGCTTTGAAGCAAGCTTGCACGGCTTAAAAAAGGGAGGGGGGGCGCAGCCCCCCCCATTTGCAAACTCAATGTTTGCATGATGGGTTTCAAAAAGACTCATATGCTTTGAAACAAGCTTGCACGGCTTTAAAGAGCGGGGGGGTTGGGGGGGGCGCAGCCCCCCCCCATTTGCAAACTCAATGCTTGCATGTAGGTTTCAAGATTCATATGCTTTGAAGCAAGCTTGCACGGCTTAAAAAAGCGGGGGGGTTGGGGGGGGCGCAGCCCCCCCCATTTGCAAACTCAATGCTTGCATGTAGGCTTCAAGATTCATATGCTTTGAAGCAAGCTTGCACGGCATAAAACAGCGCGGGTTTGGGGCGCAGCCCCCCCCATTTGCAAACTCAATGCTTGCATGATGGGTTTCAAAAAGACTCATATGCTTTGAAACAAGCTTGCACGGCTTTAAAGAGCGGGGGGGTTGGGGGGGGCGCAGCCCCCCCCATTTGCAAACTCAATGCTTGCATGTAGGTTTCAAGATTCATATGCTTTGAAGCAAGCTTGCACGGCTTAAAAAAAAAGGGGGGGGGGGGGGGGGGGGGGGGCGCAGCCCCCCCATTGTATACTATATGCTATGTACTGTATGTTATATGTAATATACATATATATATATATCACACATTGCAACTCTATATATTTTACATTATATGATGCATTCTATCATAAATTAAGATCAGGGATCGCGAGACCACAGGACGAGAGGACCGCAGAACCAGAGGACCACGGGACCACGAGACGACAGGACCAAGGGGACCACGGGACCAGGGGACCAGAGGACTGCGGGACCAAGGGAACAACGGGACCAGGGGAGCAGAGGACCACGGGACCAGACGACGGGACCAAGGGGACCACGGGACCAGGGGACCAGAGGACCAAGGGGACCACCAGCGGGGGGGGGGGGGACGAGCCACACCTTTTAAAAAAAGGAGGCCCGAGCCACACCTTTTATAAAAAAAAAACCCTGGCCCCCTCTGACCCTAAACCCTAAACCCTAAACCCTAAACCCTAAACCCTAAACCCTAAACCCTAAACCCTAAACCCTAAACCCTAAACCCTAAACCGAACAAGACACCATGAACACCTCAGGAGTCTGCGGGCAAGGTGCATTAGCAGGTCGGGGAGCCCCCCTGCGTCCGATGCCTTCTCCACCTCATGGGGCTTTTTCGAGGTGTGGGGGTTGGGGTTCGGGTTTAAGGTTTAGGGTTTAGGGTTTAGGGTTTAGGGTTTAGGGTTTAGGGTTTAGGGTTTAGGGTTTAGGGTTTAGGGTTTAGGGCTTAGGGCTTAGGGCTTAGGGCCTGCGCCGGCTCCAGTGTGTCAGTTTAGGGCTTGGGGTTCAGGCCTTGGGGTTGTAGGGCCTGTGAAGGCACCGGGGTGCAAGTTCAGAGCTTATAGGGTGCGTGGAGTGTGGGTCAGGGTTCAGGGTTTAGGACGGGGATTCTCAACGCTTTCAGGAAAACCCGAAGCCCTAAAGCTGAACCCTAAGCCCTAAAAGCCCTACAAGCCCTAGAAGCCCTAAAAGCCCTAAAAACCCTAAAAGCCCTAAAACCCCTATAAAAGCCCTAAAAGCCCTAAACCCTAAACCCCCCTGAAGGCCGCGCTTTCTCTTCGAGTTCTGCTCCGTAGTCCGCGAGGTTCTGGCCGTCGAGCCAGAGGCTTCGCATGAGCGCGAAGGTGGCCTTTTTGTGGAGACTGGAGGATTGGGGGGCTGAGGGAAACCCTAAACCCTAAACCCTAAACCCTAAACCCCAAACCCAAAACCCTAAACCCCAAACCCCAAACCGTAAACCCTATGGGGTTGAGGCGAGGTGCCTTCACCTTTCTTACGTGGGACTGTTGAGGTTGCTGTATTTGTAGGCTTTGTGGCCTTTGACAGGTGGTGGTTCCGGCATTCAGAAACGGCCGGACTGCAGAACTCGTCCAGGTTCAGGGGTTTATATTATGGGCTTCATTCGGGGCTCTTAAGCTGGGCATTGAGGGCGCCTCCGGTGCCTCCTTCTTCACTTCAGTTCAATCTCCTTCAGGGTTTACTTCGGGCGCGCCCGAAGGGGTCTACGACTTGCTCTCATGGTGATGCAGGCTTTCGTCGGGTCTAGGCGCTACATGAAGCCTAAACCTTGAAACCCTTCAACACTGGACTTTTACACCATCGACTTAAAGCCCTAACCCCTCCACACCCTATACACCCCTCAAACCCTAAACCCTCATAATGTTGACTTCACATTAGTGATTCCCGCCGCAATTGTAATATTGCAACCCGCCACAATTGTAAAATCCGACCCGGGAAATCCGTTTTTTACGGGCGTGGTGCTACTACCTAATACTAAAACTAATAGTACGTCCTACCAGGATTTAGGCGAACATTATTGAGGAGGCCCTGGCCGGAGAGATTGATCAATGAAGGGGGGGGGGGGTTTATTAATGCGAAGTCAACATTATCCCAGACAGACACTACAACCCCAGACCCCATGCCCTATAAACCCAACCCTACAAACCCTACAAGCCCTACGATCCCTAAAAAATGGGATGCTCCCCCTTAAACTAACAGTCCGTCATAAGGATTATACAGTACCCCCTGTTATAGTCCCCATTAAGGACTGTTCGTAACATCCCAACCTGCAAACCCTATAAACCCTGCAAACCCTGAAACCCTAAACCCTAAACCCTAAACCCTAAACCCTAAACCCACCCCTGGGGACGCGCACGTCCGCACTGCGATGGAGGAGCAGCGGATGTGGGCGCCCCTGAAATCGACCTGGGGGCTGATTTCCGGCACCTTTTGGGTTGAAGGGTCATGATATAGGGGGGGGCTTAGGGATAGATTTTTTCATTTTTTTTTTTTTGGGGGGGGGGGGGGGGGGGGGCTGAGGGGGTTTAGGGTTCATGATCTAGAGGGGGCTTCGAGGTTTTCTGTATTGTGCTTTTTGTTGGGGGGGAGGGTGGGGGGGTGGAGGCCAAGGGAGTTTAAGACGTAGGGTGTATGGAGTAAAGGGTTTCGGGCTTAAGGTCTCACGCGGCCACTCGGTCGGGGTAGCCGGAAAAGGGGTCTGAGGCAAGCTTGAGGTGTGCTTCGGCCTTGGGGATGTCTGCCACATAAATAGACCCAAAGTAACCCAGGTATAGAAAGGGTGCCCTATTTGGGTTTGCAGGGGCTTGTAAGGGAACCTAAACCCCACAGAAGGGACTAAGGGCTTACTCATGGATCCTAGATAAAGACCTGAAATTTAAGTAGGGACAGCCCCCTCCCCCCCCCAAGAACAAGAAAAAAACACGAAACAAACGTGGGAACTCGCGCCGAAGACCCTGTGATTCCCGAGGCAGCTGCTGTGAAGAAACGCTGACATGGCCTTAAGGTTGCGAGCTTAGGGTTCCGGGTTTGCCGGCTTCTTGGCTGCCCAAACCTTGTGTTGTTTCATTTGTTGAGCGGTTTGTGGTTTAGGGTTTAGGGTGTCTTTGCCCAAATAGAGAGGTACCCCCTATTTCCGGAAACCCCCTTATGGGAACACACAATGGCACATGGCGTGCCACTCGATGTGATCCTGGGTACCCCAAATCTGGCGCTGGGTCATTAGTCCTCAGCATCTGAAGGAGAACCTGGCCAGTGTACCTACTTGCAGGTTCATGGGCAGCTTTAAGTAGGGTTCTATAAGTACCTTGGACCAAGGGTACAACTATAGCTTCCGCACTTGCAACCCTACCTAGAAGTGCCCATGTCATGAACCTCCAAGTAGGCCACCGCCTCGCTAAGTCGTTCAAGGGCTCGGGTTCGGAGTTCTCCTGTCCCGAAAAACAACGGGAACCCTAAAACTCTCAGACCCTCAGCACCAAAAGGGTTGAGGGTTGAGGGCTTCAGGGTGGAGAGTTTAGGGCCCGCAAACCCTACACCCTAAACCCTAAACCCTAAACCCTAAACCACCCTCTTCATCGGGCTTTTGCAGCGGGGGCCCGATCCGGCAGCCCTGCAAGCAAGAGGCCCCTAAAAGCTCCGTGCTGTTCTTCTGCAGGTTTTTGGCCAACCTGAAAAAGACGGCTTGGGGCTTAGGGTTTAGGGCTCCCAAAGTCGGTTTAGGGTTTGGGGCTCAGGGTTGAGGGGCCCTGGTATGGATTGGAATAAGTTCCAGGGTATATGACCTTATTTTCGGGTTCATCTGGCCACGCTGCAGAACTGGGGACTTCGAGGGTCGGGCACCTGTGGAAGCTACTGCTGGTAGGATGTTCTTTGTTCTTTGGGGGGGTAGGGGGGGGTGTTGTAGACGTTCGAGAACTGAAGAACCAAAAACAACCCAACTTTTGGGCCGTGGGCTTCACCTCCTGTAGAATTTTACAACCAATTCCCCATACCTAAGTTCACGCAAAAGGAAACTTGACGTGCTGCCGAGACTCCATGCCCCCTGAGGAATCCCCAAAACCTGCCAAGCTTGGGGGGGGGGGGGGGGGGGGGGGGGGGGGGGGGGGGGGGGAGGGCAGCCTACCCCTCTACAGGTTCGGAGGGCTTCGATTTGAGGATTTAGGGCTCAGGACCCCTAAGCACCACATCCCCCCCAAAGCTTCAGGGTTTATAGGGCTTATGGTTGCAGAACTCTGAGCGTTAGATGGGCTTTAGGTGTTCCAGGAGAACAACAAAGATTAACAGATCACAAGCACCAAGTTGAATCCCGAAGTTTGGGGGTGTAGCGCTGAGATGCGATTACTATTCATACTTCTAGTACTCCTATTACTGCTGCTACTGCTGCTGCTGCTGCAGCTGCAACTTAATGGTTTAAGGTGTTGAAGGCTTTGGAAGTTTACGGCCGGCTTCCTCTCACACACACACACACAACACACACAACACACACACCACACACACCACACACACCACACA